ATGTAACCTTTGCAAGGTATTATACTAGCTTAGTGGTCTGAAGGTTTCTATCTACACTATAGATTTAAATAAAAAGTTTTAAAGAGTATGAAAACAAATTAAGGGACAGACACATCAACTTACTTCCTGTCTCTATGTAGAATGTGTGCTATTTTCTGATGTTTGTATTTTTATTTATTTTAATTTTTTAAGCTTTGATTTACAGGGTGTCCTATATATCTAGCCTCACAGGGAAATATGTCTTTTTTTTTTCCCCCATGGTTTGTTCATGGAGGTCATGGCACAGCTGAATGTATTCAAACCAGTCCCTTTGCATACCAACAAACTTACTATCTGGTATTTTTGCACACTTTCCTATCACACACAGATTATATGAAAAGTTTTATTTTCTTGTAGGTCCAGACTTTTGGAACATCCTGTATGTTAAATATGTTAGATATTATACTAAAGAATGGTACTAACTATTGAGATATTAAGAGAGTTGCTTTTGAGAACTCTTAAAATTAGCTTACATTGACATTAAGTTGTATATATTTTTGCTGTCATCTACTAAAGTTTAATATTTGCTTTTTGTAAATATAAATATTTTTCATATAGGATTAGCTTCCAGTTTTCATTGCTATAAATAATTTTATATTGCATTTCAGAAAATATACTTATATTTGTGATTTATCTTTTGACAGTAGAAGGCTAGTTGCTGATATTTCTAGTTGTTGCAATGAATTTGAAGTAACAGTATGTGTGTGTGCCTGTAATTTAGTTGAACAAGTGAACAGATACCTTGCAGATATGATTGTTAAACACAGGAGTTCTGCATTTTCTGATAATCCTCTGTATAAAACGTTAAGGCAAATTAGTAAATAAATATATGTGGTGTGCTGAAGAACACACACAGAGGGATTGTTGCTTTTATTGCTTCTAATTCTCAAATTGCTGTTCTTGAAAATATTTGAGTGTGCTTGAGACATAAGTACTGAACACTATCTAACATTACTTGTGTTGTTTTAATGCACCTACTACTGATGTGGCCATTAGATATTCCATGGGTCACGGTCTGTCATAGAAGACGTTACTTTTTAAATGACCTGTAAGAAGTCCAAAGATGGTAAAACAGGGCTTCTTGGTGGACATTTCACTCCACTTCGACTTCCTGGTCCCATTCTTTTGGAGCCAGACACTTGAAATACTTAGCCAATGAAATATTTTTTTCACAACAAACAGCCAGAAACTGTATGATTTTGAATCAGATTTACCAGTGTCATTACTGTCAAAAAAGTATTGACCAATTAAAAGAGCACCCAATGATAAAAACTGCAATATCACTCATATATCATTTTATATGTGGCTTTCACCCAATTGGGAGGGGGGTTGATCAAATTGGGAATGTTACCTTTGAAGTAAAAAATAACTTCTTCACTGAAACAAAAGTTTTGTGTGAATCCTGAAAGTGGAGCAAGTAACCACTCAAAGAAATCCACTCTTCTTATTCAAGATAAATTACTATGTTGCATGTCTTTTAATAATCTTATATATTTTGATAAATGAATATACAGTTATCAAATTTTAAAATTACACCACAAAAAACAGTCCATATATCTCCACTTCAATCATTTCCAAGTTAAATAATAGTAGTCATGTTAAATTTATGGTCAGTATTAAAATTTGCAAGACAAACTGAAATCACATTAATTTATTAACTAAATGTGCACGGAATCGATATGACCCATATTGAAGAATGAATACTGACTCTAATTCTGAATTTACTACATGTATCTACATGAAATGTGAAAAGCTTTTAGTGAAAAGTCTGTTTTACACAAAAAATCAGATGTGTTAAAAAGTACCTGTACTAAAGATATGTATGTGAGCTAACAATGTCAGTGTGACTGGAACTAACAAGTTGAAGCGAAAGGAGATATTCTTGTGAAGAATAAGAACATTTTGACCATTATACAGTTTGCATAATTCCCAAAACCTTCAAAATACATACCTCAGTTTCTTCAGCATCCCTATATATTGTATCTGGTATTTACTCTCTTCCACTATGCTAAATCAGCAGTGTAGGATAATGTGAATAATTGACAACTCTAAAATGAAACACACATAATACCACATTGAATGGCAATCTGTAAAAGGCATTGTGGCATGCACACTTTGATTCTTACCTGTGTACATAGGGTTAAGCCAATATATTGGGTCTACTCTTTTTAAGTTTTACAAACCATTTACATTTAATATATACTTAAGATAATCTTTGACTTTCAGCTTTTAGATGAATTTGAATGAAAAACAGTTTTTATATTTGAAAATTAGTTCTACCTAAAATCTTAAAACTTACTAACATTTTGATCATTCGAAGAAATATAGAATGAAATATTTATGACCAGTTCAGATGTTCACGAAAAAATATGTTTTCTGGTTTTTTCAGGCTTTTCAGCAGAAATGTTTTGTCAACATGCTTGTAAAAATCAAGCTCTGCACTACGATGAAGTATATGTTTAACCCTACTTCTCTACTTGTGATTTTATTTCCATTTACTTGTTTAAAAAAACATTCTCCATTATCTGTTGCCTTTTTTCTTTTCACTTGTATGATCACAATAAAATCATCATCAATCCTTATTGTCTACCCACTCCACAGCAAAACAGAACTTGTATCTTTAATGCAATTATTGTCTTATAGCTTTCTCTCGACTTTAATTAGTATTTGAATCACCCATTTTAGAATGAGTCAGTAATGGTCCTTCAAATGAATATTGAATCATAACTCCTTTCATCCATTCTTGTTGTACTGTTCTGAACATATGTGATGATAGGTTGTTATAACTCCTCTTGAGGCCATGCTGAAGTTAAACTGAATGTTGTTAAACACAGAGATAATGTTTAACTGAACACTTCCTTTGCTAAGCCTGAAATATTTTATTTAAAAACTAGGATAGTTTAAATATGTATGTGGTTTAATATGTAATATTTCTAGGAGTGATTTTAGACTTAATAATTGTAAAGGTATACATTATACATATACTCATTAAATTCCAGTGTAATTAAAGCATTAATCTAGCTTGTGAAGCATAGTTAGTTTCATGGAAGTTGGATATTTTTAAAACATTAGTTAGGGTAGGGTAGCATTATTAAGTAAAGTGATTACACAAGTGCATGGAATTTAAAACAAAAGGAATAATTATAATTCTACCGCATGAGTGAGGTAAAGACTCCAAAAATATGCTTGGTTAATTTAAGTTATGGTTAACATCCCTCACTGAAAATTTTCTTTTCTACTCACCTGTTATTTGCTATTATGAGTCTAGTGCTAGATGGTGAATAAGTAAAATTTAGTTAATCAAGAAATTAAACTTACAAGTTATTTCTTATAAAACAAATAATATTAAATATTAAAACACATTTGGCAGAATATTTTAAGTGGTGTTTACACATGGCAGGTAAGTACAAAAACAGAGTTCAGTAACACATTTTATTTAGAAATAGTATTTACCCCTATAGTTAAAGGTATATAATTTCATAACATATATTTTACTGAGAAATACCCTTTTCTTTTCCTAAAACACTTGCATATGGTTACTTTTACTAGTATCAATATGGCTGCCTACAGAGGAAGCACTAAAGTTCAAAGCAGCTTTGATTTGGCTGCCATCTGGTGACAGAATGTTTAAATTAGCAAATTACTAATGTACATTGGAAAAAAAAGATAATGATTAAAGAATTAAATAAAGAGCTAAGTAATTCAATTTGGATACCCAACAGAAAGTTTAAAAAGTTCATAACTTTTCAAATCCTCTTTTGGTGATATATTCAGAAAATTTCGTTAAGTTACTCAAAAAGTTAAAATGAAGTTTTTAAGATTCAAGAGCCTCCACCTAGTGACAATATTAAAAGTTTGGGTTAGACCCTTGTGAGTAACAACAAACAAATTTATGAAGATGTGAGCCCCCAGTAGTTACCATCCCATGATAATTGATTTGAAGTTTCAATTTACAGATATATAAAGAAATGAAACTTTGAGAATAAGTCAAAATGCAGCATATGTAATTTGTAGCACTTTTCATAAGTTTAGAAGTTTATTTTTGCTTATACACATGTGCATGTAGAGTTAGTAATAGTGAACCCTCATGCACTGATAGCCATACAGTAAACACTTCAGATGTTAGACAAATTTAATATTCATGCAAATAGAATTAATGAAGATTTTGTTACTTGTAGTTTAATTGTCCTTTATTGCAGGGTTCATTATGACCTCTCTACACACACTTATATAGAGAATTTTATATTTAACCAAATCATTTAAATTAGAAAGTTTCTAAACTTTTAATAAAAGTCCAACAATGCTCCCTGGTGACTTAGTAATAAGTTGGAGGGCTTATGACACTAAAACTCGGGGTTTGATCCTAGCAGTAGGTACAGTACAAATTATGTAGTCATGATTAATACTTATCGTTTTAGGGTGCTGCATAAACATTTTTCCTTTTTCAAACATCAAAACTAGGTAAAACTCGGATGGTTAGTAGGTTTATTGCTTGTGTCATCTTATTATATAGATGACTATGATTGTGATTTTGTTTCCATGATGTAAACTTCGATTACCACAGATATTCATTTGGTGGCATAATTATTCTGTCTTAAACTGTAGCTATAATATCAAGTGTATTTTCGGCACTAGTCGAATGAAATTTTGTGAACGTTGATAATGAGATTAAACTACAAGTTCACAAACAAGATAAATTTTCCTTAGTTTTGGAACTAGCTTTTTTAAGTTTCTTTAGTATCGTGTATAATGAAACATTATATTATATTATTTTTTTTGTAATAGCTAAAATAGTATAGAAATGTATATACACAAATTGTTCTTTTTTATTTTTTACTAAAAGGACACAAAAAGTACCTTTTTTTTTATAACTTATCAATAGAATTTAAATAGTAACACCACAGCACCTTTCTTTGCTCTCAGTAAATGCAAAAACCTACCTTACTTCCAATCTCCTGTAGGTAGTCTCAGTAGTTATACTCCAACTGTGCTTAGTAGCAACAGTGATACCTTTGAGCTTGGAGTGTCCCGACCTATTCACAGAGAAACCCTACCCCCTGCACCCCAACAGGAATCAACCAACTCTGAAAATGATGAAGAGATGCTCAAACCTGCTGACCCAGAGGACATCTCATCTTGGTCATCTTCTACAACTTCTGATCTTTTATTCTAAGGTAAATTCTACATTGAAACAATTATTGTTCATTGTTTTTACTGAATCACTGAAGCTAATTTTACCACTCAAGTTTATTCCTACCATATTGCTTGTTCAGATCTTTTTCTGAGATAATTTTAATAATATTGTAAGCTGTCTGTTTGAGTAGAAAGTGAATTATTTTACTTTATGAAAAAAGGGTAGTCAAAGTTTGAATGTATTAAAGACTTTTCTCAGTGGAATTATGTATTACATCTGTTCTTACTTGTAGTGATGAAACAGTAAAAATTAAATAAAAGCAACAAACAGGGACACAAAGTTTACAAATCATTAAAAAAGTATAGAGTTACATCTTTTATTGGAAAAACTAAAAGTGTTATACAGAGGGGTATTCATGATATATGGTAAGAATACAAGGATAAATGCCTAGGCCTCAGCTCTTCCACCAGTGTTCTGTGTTCTTCCCTTTGTTTTAATTTTCTTCCTAAAGTTCAAACAATGACTTCTTAGGGGTTATGCGAGATAGGCAAAAGCCATGAAATATATCTGTGAGGAATATAGCATGAATTCCTGTTTGTACTTGAATCTTGCATAGTTACTGGCATGTTGGCTTAAGCCTGTATTACCTTGATGAAATTATATCTTATCGATAGCCAGTCTAAGCAGAAGTTGGTATTTTCTTGCATTACAGTGGTGTTAGCATGTCAACTTGTTGGTATACAAGGTTCATCTTGGCATTTTTTCTCAACTCTTCAAATGTTGTATTTATCATTATAGCTACAACCATAAATCCCCTGGAAAAATCTTGAAATGTTAATCACTTGGTAATGAATTGCCTGGATTTTTGCCAATGCTTATGTGGATTCATGTAAGTTATTAGCATATTTCCACTTACCATATGCTAGATACTACTCGTAAAGATTTTTAACAGTTGATCTTTTGTTCTGCTGTGTGCTTTTGTAGACCTAAGTCTCTATGAATTATCTTGTTTAAAATTCCAAAGGAGGTTTCTACTTTAGCTGCAATGCTCTTGGGTTATGTCTAGTGACAAGCTGTTTAGTATGCTGGACTGTGAAAGTGAGGACCCATGGTTTACATACCATTGCTACTAAAAATGCCTTCTACACTTTGGCGTGTTACAAGAGTGGCAGTCAAATTCAGTTACATTAGTAGCCCAAGAGTGTGGCAGTGGATGCTGTTGGCTAGCTGCCTTCTCTCTATCAGTTCAAAATTAGGGACAGCTAGTGGATGTAGTCTTTTTGTAGCTTTACATGAATTCCTGAAATAAACTCTAGCTCCAAGAGTGTAACTCATAGCTGGAATCATGCTTTCCTTGTTTTATTGATATAGTTCAACACTGCAGATACACAGTTCTTGGAAATGCTAAAATGTTCTTTGCATTTGAAATCCCTGAATTGTTATTCTCCTAGATGAGGTTAATTTCCACTTACAAAACACCTCACTTTAACCAGATTGCAACAGTAGGTTTAGGACTTTTAACCTATGTAATTACAGGCCATCTGTTAAGTGCTTAGATCTGCATATTATTACCTAAGTTTATAAACAACCCTGTGTTTGTATGAAACTGTATAAACTTGTGAGGATGTAATATTAAACATTTAAAGTTTTTACATCTATATCACACTGTAAAAATGAATGGATATAAATAAAACTTTGAGACATGTTTCAAGCAATAAAAACAATAATATCAATTTAACCCAGTAAATCAGTAACTGTATTTTGTTATTTCTTGTATAAATTATCTCTGGTTTCATATTATAATGTAAGTGCATCTTTTAGTTATGAAAAAAATATCTAAACAGTCTTTTTCCTAAATTTGTTACTAGCTGATTTTTGTGGAATAGTGACACATGGTAAATGAAATGTATGATTTAATTGCAACAACTTTTGTTTTTCTAGCCCTGAAAAGTACCAGGATCTTAAGAAAATAACATATAATGGCTGTGGCCAGTAAACTAAGGGACAATGCTGTTAGGCTTGGCTTTGATATTGGACCATATGATTGACAAGTTTTAAAACAGATATTACTGATAGTTTTGAATGTTATTAGTGAGGAAGTGGACTTTTCCTATCTCTAATAAAAAAAAGAATTTTTTTTTAGTAATTCTACATACAAACATTTACAGTCATAGTCCTAGAGACTGAAAGTAAACTAATCTTTACTATTACTAATGAAATACAAAGATAAGTTTTTTGATGCATATTAAGAATATTCAGTGTTATTTTATATCAAGATTGCTTTGTTAATATATGTAAAATAGGAACATCTTTATAGCTAGCCTAAGTCTTTCATAATTTTTGGTATCAGAACAAAAACAACTTCAGTTAGTGCAGATAAAAATCCTGATTTTCTTTTTTAACTGTCATGTGGCCTTAGATTATGAGATTTTTTGTGTTAACAAATTTAATGTAACAATGTATATACAAACCTTACTAATTTTGATAAATGATCATTTAACTGTTAATTGGCAGATAATGTTGTTATCAACTTGTTCAGTAATAAAAGAGTATTCAGTTCATGGTCGTACTTATTGGTAAGAAAGCTAAAGGGAGGACACGGACATTAAGGTAATTATCAAAATATCAGCCTCAGTGAAACTCACTTTTCTACCTGTTACTTTAAAAAAGTTAATTTCCTTTCTGGACACATTAATATTAACTTGTCATTTTCTTTTTTTTCAAGTGTTTAGCTTTTTGAATAAAATGTTCACCATTTTTAACCTTTTCTAATTTGGAAGTGGTTATCTTGTTTAGGTACTAACTGTTATCAGTATGTATGTACATATATTGCTTGATCTGCCAATATCTGAGCTTATTACATTTCAAGTACTGTACTTTCAAAATTTATGATAAAAGCACTTAGTACGTACATAAACTTACTTTACTTTTCCTACTACTGGTGTAACAGTAGTGAACTGAAGAATGTGTGAAACTTTTAAGGGTGAAGATATTTGTGTTTTGCATTTATATTTCAAAGTTGGATAAATGATACCTCACCAGCAGTAATCTTTTTCGTGTTAGTTTTCTTTGGGACCATTTGGATTGTATGACTCCTAATTTCCAGCATATTAAAAAAACATACTTGAGTGGACCACTGTTTATAAATTTGGCAGAAACTATTTTCTTAAAATATATATTTTGAGGTGTAAACAATTTAAAATTTTACATACACAGAAGAGGTTCAAGTATGTAGTTTTTATTCCTTTCCATTGCTACATGAATATCTCAAAGATTAAATCTTGTTCCTGGATAATTAATAGTAAGGATTTTAGTATTATTATATATTAAGATTGCTTTGTTATTATATGTAAAATAGGAACTACTTTAAAGCTAGCCTATGTCTTTCATAATTTTTGGTATTAAAACAAAATTTCAGTCAGTGCAGAGAATAATCCTTATTCAGTCATTTGAGAGGAAATGTTTGATGGAGCAAATGATAGCAGTTCAGGAAGTGTCAATGAATTTATTTAATTGCACACTAAACTATTTTGTATGCTAAATTGTCAAGTGTGATAGTTGTTACACATTATAATCTCAGTTGCTTATGAATTTGATAAAAGATTAGCAATATGTTTAAATTTTATATTTATTTTCTTCTGATTGTTTTGACACTGATTGACAAGGTTTGTTATCCACTATACATCTGAAGCTTTCATTAATCCAATATTATGCATAGTTTTTGTTGTGAAAGTAATTAATGTGTATGTAGAATATGCTGATAAATCTTGAGTGAAGAAGTGAGGGTTTCAAAGTCTAGTTTTAGTGCTTAACAACTTTGATAATGTACCCTTAAAACTGACTTAGCAATTGAAAAAATTGTGAATTTTAGATTGTTCTTAAACTTTAAGAACTACACTTTCATAAAAATTGTTTTTGGTGTGTTAGTGGTTGATGTGCTTTGTCAAAAATATTGGTTATCAAAGAGAGCAGTGGTCTATAATGAATGATAAATGTGTATTTATAATACTGTGTGTTCACTCTCAACCACTTTAGTTTTGTACATAAACAGGCATGGTAATACCTTATACAAGTTTTATAAATGTTACATATCATAAACCGTACGATCATTATGTTTAGTAACTTGTATGAACAAGTTTTAATTTTTTTGAACTGGCAAAAGATACCATAAATGTTTGAATATTTATATACAAAAGCATAAGTGTATTCCATATAATTTGGTGTTAAAGCTTATTTTGCATCTTCTGTAAGCTTTTCAAAATATTCATTTTCAGTATTAATAAAAAAAGTTGTAGTAACACATGCAGATTTATTATTTATGGATAAAAACTATTTCCATATCACATTGTTTATTGTAAATGTGTGTAATCCACCTAAAGTGCTATTTCAAAATAGAATTAAAATTCTAAGTCATGAACTAAAATTTTTTTTCATGTCTTGTGCTTAAAGTTTTTACATGATACATACTATCAGGAATGGGCTCTTCATGGTGGTAAAACAGATCCAAAATGAATACTTGTTCGAGGGTGTACACATTGACTTTTTGAGCCAATTAAAAATACTAGTAATTGTTGCTGATAAAGTATTATTCAAATCCAAGACCTTTAAAGCTTTCTTTTTAACTGTACATACTAAAAATTCTTGTTTTAAGATTCAACTTGTTTCTATAAAATAAAGTATTATCTTCCAGTAAATATTTGATAATCAAAATAATTTTTTTTTGAACTTCAAGCCACAGATTTATTTCAAGTAAGTTATGATACAAAGACCTGTGGTAGTTGAATTTAACAAAGCAACTGTATCTAGATCTTAACGGTTGGACTTCGCCACACGTTCCAATTCATCTTTTTTCTTGATAGCATAGCTGTTGGACGAACCCTGAAATATTAACAAGTTAATTTGAAAATTTTTTTTTAATTTAACAAAAATTAACAGTTCACTGCAAAGAACCTCCAACATATAATACATATATTTACAGAATCAAGTTATGTTTGGAGGTTCACCTAACTGTACATAAGCATCTTATAAAAATTAACCCAATCTACAGAATTCAAATAAACTTTAGAGTAAACATTTGGAAAGGGGGGGGGGGGGAATACAAAAACAAACTTGTTTCTTTTTGTTTGATTATTGACAGACCTACTCAGTTTTTCTAATCTGAATGAACTAACTACAACAACACTGTTGGGTGTTACATCGATTATCTACTCCAAAACAACACATCTTTCCAATAAATTTATACAGTACACAAGTCATGCTCTTCAACCGTTACATTGAAATAAGGTGTACTTATAGTTTGACATGAAAAATTAATAAACCATCTACAGCTATCTATCAGTTTTCTCCAAAATTTCTTATTCTAAAAAAATTAATGGTCAACTAAACACTAATATGCACAAATTTTCTGCTAGATGATTTTTAAGCATAGCTACTTCAGGGCTATCATGATAGACAAGAGGGAAGGCAGCTAGTCAATGCCACCCACCACAAACTTGTGGGTTACTCTATTGGAATGGTGGGATTTGATTTTTTTTTATTTTGTCAGTAAGGAGGTATGAACCATAAATCCACAGCCTGATACACTAACCACTGCACTTAGCCCAATGATTTTGTAAACCAACCAGGTGGTGGTATAATCCCATCACACTCCAATAGTGAGTTTGTTGGTCTGAAGTTAAGATCTGATGTTAATATTCTCACCTGGTTACTTTCAAAGTACTCTTAAAATGAATTGAACTGAACATTTGCTAATTCATTCAAGTTAACTTTGTTTACAGCTATTAGGTGAAGGCAGACCAAAAACAGCTTTTCTTCTATGCCAGTCTTTGTTTGTTGATCGAGGTATTGATTTTTTCTGGGACATTTACTCCAATACTTCTTGTTATGCCTTCTAACAAGTATAAACATATGTATAGGTATGGAAAAAATATTACCAATTCATAGTTGGGGTATAACATAATTAGGCTAAAGAGAGCCAATATACAACAGGACAAAAATGTTCCCCAACCAATCATTTTAACAGGCATTAAGTTAAATTGTAGTATGGATAAAAGTACAGAATTCAATAGTTTACTAGGAAGTGCATCTTAAGGGTCCTATACTGGTACACCAGGCTAATTTACACAAAAGCTGGAGTGATTACCCTTGCAGCATTAATAAGTTCATCAGCTAGGCACTCAGCAATGGTCTTGATGTTTCGGAAGGATGATTCTCGTGCTCCAGTGCAGAGTAACCAAATGGCTTGGTTAACACGACGGAGAGGAGAAACATCCACAGCCTGTCTCCTGACTGTTCCGGCTCGGCCAATACGAGTGGAGTCTTCTCTTGGTCCACTGTTAATGATGGCATTGACCACAACTTGGAGGGGATTCTGTTGAGTTTTATTATTATTATTAAATGAGTAGCAACAAATGTAACACTTTAGCTAGATTAATAAATAACGAGTTTTTCCCATCATCAGTCCCTCACCAGTTTTTGTTTGTTTGTTTAGGAGTTAAACTAAATGTCATGATAAGATCTTGAGGAATAGTTTAATTCCCTGAACTACTATCATTAATCATCCTAGCTAATAAATCTATGAGTACAGTATACATTCAAGGAAAACAACTAACTTCAAAAATTTTTTAGTATTGTTAAAATGTTAGAAAAGCAAGTTAAATTTTCTATTTTATTTTGATGGTTATCTTGTACGAAACTATGAAATCAAATAATGAACTGTTCAAGTAAGACTATTGTACTAGTTCTTGTTTACAAGCTGTTCCATTACCAAAGCTTCATACAGCAACTTCTCATCAAAGCAAGATCTCTATATTGATGAACTAAGAATTTCTTATTTTTAACTTTTGCAGTCAACATCCACAATCTTTAGCTCATGCGACCACAGAAGAATGTAAACTGTACATGTATTTTTATTGTTATTATACATCTAAGGTTGTTTACAGGTAAAGCTAAATTAAATATGGAACAAATTTTACACAACAAAAAGCTTCCTAGGTATTTAGCAGACTTGACCTTGGAACCACCAATATTATCTGCACGAGAATCAAGTAGATATGTGGTATCTCTATAACTGCAACTATTGTTGTTGTTTTTTACTTACCTCACCAGTTAGTAGGTGAATTATTTCAAAAGCATGCTTAACAATTCGTACTGCCATTAGCTTTTTGCCATTGTTACGTCCATGCATCATCATGGAATTAGTCAGTCGCTCAACAATTGGACACTGAGCCTTACGAAATCGTTTGTTGGCATAGCGACCCGAGGAATGCGGCAGGTATCTGGCATACTTTTCTTTAACAGCAATGTAGTCCTGGTGGGGGAGAAAAAAAAAAGGATACCTTTTAAAATATTTTTTGAAAAACAATTATTAATTTCAGCACGTTTATCAGAACTATCAGTAGTTTATTATCTGTTACTTGAGATTTGAAAACAAAAGGCAATTAAATTTGATTAGGCACCGTACATATACACATTATTCCTAGATTCTAAGCATACTTTAACCATAAATTAACATGACAACAGTAAACAATTTTGTTTTAGTTAGAATATTATAATAAAAATATAACTATGCTACTCCTTTTATTCACCCCTTTATTACTTTTTCAAATTCTAAAACGTACCTTGAATTTTAGCCGATTAGCTCAGCCAAAATGAAAACAATCTTGTCCATTACTCAACATCAATACAAAGAATAATAATGTATATTTTGTTTTATTTTGCTACGTGTTGGTTACAAGGTCGGTAAAATTAACAGGGTTGAAAAAAATAACAGATAAAATATAAAAAACTTGATATTCATTCAGGTTTCAGTGGTTATGCATATGAAATTTGAAAATTGTAAGATTGAAACAAGTATTTTTAATCTTAACATAAAAATCATCTTGCACTCCAAACTGGGTTAATTTGAGTCAAACTCTGAATCCATAAATTCACAAAAAATCTTTAATAAAAAATTACACTAAAAAGCAACTTTCTTGTGTACAACTAACTTCCAATGTTCACTAAAAGATTGCCAAACTTAATGAAGATACACTTACACTAAACGTTAGTGTGTAGCCTATACTCTCAGTTCCCTGGTGGTTGCAAGGTCCTTCATAATGACCAAGCTTGTATACAGTTCAGTTAATACAGTTACTTATTAATATGGGAGATTTTAGTGTAACTTAAATCTTTTGAAGTAAGTTTTAGTATAATGCCACATCAAATATTCACATCACATTTCCATATTACTGCTACCAATAATAATTTTGTTCCATAGTAATCTCAACACAAAAATTTAAAGTTGGCTGCTCATATAAAAGGAACATATATTAATTTTGACTAATCCTTATGTTAGTAATAATAAAATTTAAGTTGAGTTAAGACTTTTTCTAAACTACTTCAGCAACAATGGCTTTCTAAATTCTAGAATAATGTGAATTACAGAAAGCTGTATGAATAATTTTTATACTATTTATACAATAGTCCATATTTTAGTATGAAGCCACTATTCTTGCAATTTACAAACCATAACCTACAACTTTTGGGTGTATATATCAAGTACTTGTCTTTTGATAAATTACTATATGGATTAGTTTTTTAAACCTTTCAAAAAACATGCTGACCTATAGAGGGAAAAACTATTAACAATACTCCATGAAAATAGCACTTTTTAGGACCTGATACTAAAAAATGTCAACTTAAAAAGTACGGTTAAAATCTGTATTTTCTAAAAAGGATGAAAGAAGGGGGTACTAATTT